CGACGGCATCGATACAGGGACATGCTACTACAAGCTGCCGGCGGTGCTGCAAGGAGTGTCTGGCGTCTACAGCAAGCATGGAGGTGGATGGCAGAATCGGACAGCGCACGCGTTTCCATCTAGCGGCCACGGGCAACCGGCCCAAATTTCATCCGGCCTACCGGTGCCTAGCATGCGCCTATTTTAAATACTACAAAGAGCCAAAATTACAAACAAACAAAAAAAGTAAAAGACATATTAGCGCAGTGCAAGGGGCATGTGTTTTGGACAGGAGGGACCAGCATTGCATCACTACATGATTTCATGTGGTAAAGATAAGGTTTCAAGACTGAGTGCCATGATTATGTAGTTGGTAACACCCAAAAATCACATAGTAAAGCAGGATTCGGAACTGAACAGGGGAACTATATGTACATGAATAAGAAGTAATTCACACAATAGGAGAAACACAAATATTTACATAAGAGGTAGTTAACCACCTCACCACTCTGCCACAACAACTCGACTGCTCATGTGTTTATCTGGCAGTCTGGTCATGTAGGGAAGACAGTGATTACATGTTCCCCCAATGACACTAGTTAGGGCATCGCAGTGGATTATGGTATAATTCAGCTTATCCAACCAGCTTTTGTCCATTTTGGTGTTTGTTTAACCAACTTATCTCTAGTTCGCTATTTTCCCGCAGCAGATTACAAAATAAGCACAGTGCAGCAACTATAAGCAACCTTACACTTAGATCTGCATAGGTTTTGACCCACACGTACACTAGCACATGAAGCAAACAAACGGGCTAGAAAATGCACGCTGAATCAGACCGAGGGCACTTTACATTTAGCTTCTGGGAGGACTTCAGCTGGCTAACCAGCACTGGTATCGTAGCGGTCCGGATCAGCACCGTCGTTAACACGATACAAGCCCACCTGAGCACCAGACCAAATCCCACATGAGAGGCGTATATGAGCAAACCGAGCACACGGCCCAAAGAAACAGATCGCGAAGCTTACCAGTTGAGACCGGTGAAGGTATGTACGTAGTCAATGAGGTACTGCAGCGCGGCGACGGGGAAGAAGGAGTCGGCGGCGGCGGCTGCCACCTCCCCCGGGAACGGCGCCGGCACCGACGAAGCCACCGCCTCCGCGGCGTCGACAAGGACGCTCGCGGCAGCATCAACCTCTCCGGGTGGGTCCGGGGCGGGGGCGGGGGCGGAGGAGGAGAAGCCGCGGCGAGGTAGCCCCGAGTGGTGGAGAGAGAAGGGGAGGAGGTGGTGTAGGGTTTGGGCTGCTCTGGAAGCGGGCGGGAGCGGGGAGCGGAATGACGGGAGTGGCTGTGGCTGAGATGAGGGGCTCGGGGGGTCGTCGTCGTTGGAGCGGGTGAGCAGATGCGGGACGGATGGGTGGAAGCGGCGGGTGAGGTGGTGGGAGAAGCGGGAGGCGAGGCTCCTCCGCGCGGCGAACGCCATGGCCCTCGGCTTGGTGGGGTGGGGTGGAAGGCGACGCTCGGAGAGGAGGGCGGCGGAGCCGAGACGGCGGCGGGAGGAATGGGGTGTCTGAGCCACCGAGGACTCTAGAGTGGGCTTCCCGCCTCCAGGTGTTCGTTGTGGGCTTTTCTTGTTGAGGGTTTTTCAGTACAACGTCGTGGGTCAGATGTGCGGGCCTGGCCCATCAACAGTTATAAGATTGATCTAAAAAACCTAAAAGGGAGATTACACATAATTCGTCACTGTTTCCCTCCACACACAAAAAACATAATTCGTCACTCTTCAAAATTCAAGTCATGACACGAGTCATCAGTGTTTTCTTCGTAAAAATGACAGATCTAGGCTTGATATCCAGTTATTTTCTTCGCAAAAACAGTCAAGTCATCATTGTTCTGAAAAATCTATTGTTGTCCCTCCCAATTCCTTCACAATGAAACTGAGAAGGCGTACAATGTCATCAGTGTCGATGAAATCTTTCTTACAAAACATGGTGTCAATGAAGGCCAGGAGATCTCACCATACCTAAGCTAGCACATGATGAACACGTCAGTATGCTACCTATTCGTCTCCAGTAGTAGCCAGCTACTCTACTCCTGGAACCAGATAAAGCATAAGACTAGGAGATTGCTACCCGGTAAGTGGTGTAGTTCATCTCGAAAAAAAAGTGGCGAGTATTAGTGTCTACATTTAACCGTCTTTGGTCGATTTCATATCGGACTCTTCTCTGTGAGTGCTACCATCAGAAGATTTCTTTGTCTCTGGGGAAACGGGCTCTTCCTGCTCTTTGACAGAAGGGGCATCATCTTCAGCAGTTGGGCCCTTCTGTCCATCACAAGAACATTTTCTTTGTTTCAAGGGGGTGCCATATAGTACTTTCTGCACAGCTGGCTGTTCGAGAGCTGCAAGCAATCAAAGCGTGTTTCTATATGTCAAGTATAATGGAGAAAGGACCAAACAAATTTATTTATTTATTTTGTAAAGAAAAAGGACCAATCAAAATACAAGGCTCACCTATCCTTTCTGCAAGACTTAGAGAACTCCAGGTGACCAAGGAACAAGAAATCGCCTGGACAGGGCATAGATTTGGAGATGCTTTAACATAAGAAAGAAGGGGAACCCCAGAATGTTTACGTGCTTTACTTCAGAATGTCTGGAATATCAATTAATAGTATAGTAGTAGATGCTCTGTAATGCACTATTTATTGGAGAAAGAGCTCACCGGCTAGCTGCTGACATGGTAATAAACCTAGAAGCTACATGGAATTGGAGATTTTACTGCAGAGCTAATGAATTCCATCATACATGTACCAGCCAATTCATCCGAGAGCTTGAAAAATTGAATGTTTTTTTATAAGCTACCGCCCCCATAAAATAGTTGTATGGTCACAGAAACAGTAAATCATAGTGATCCCCCCTTACGCTAATATGCTCAATGATGCATACTGTATTTATATTATTAACATGTCAATCGTTTATGAACATATATCCAATACAAAAGTACAATCAGAAGAACAAGTATACGTTCATTCTGTTTTCTGTTACTGAAGTCAAGGTATTAAGAAAAAAAATACTACATGGGGAAGCATTTTTTAACTCTTTACTTTTTAATTGGTTAAAACATAAAACCCAGATATATGATCCTATTACATCACAGAATGAGAAGCACGGGCCAACCAAAACATATGGGAAAAAGAGATATAAATCTTAGGATCAAACGCACCTATTATCAACACAGTGCACATGTGCACTTCAAAAAATTCCCAAACATATTACTCCCTCCGTTCCGAATTACTTGTCGCAGGTATGGATGTATCTAGATGTATTTTAGTTCTAGATACATCCATTTCTGCGACGAGTAATTTGGAACGGAGGGAGTACATTACTAGAATATGTTATCATACGTGCAAGCCCAAACACGGTGGAAAAAATAATATCATGAGTGCATTTTACATAAAGACATGTAAAATTATTCAATAACAAAAAACTCCAAGCATGAGCAAGTAATCCACTCTACCTGAGGAAGGGTAGCTGTCCACAGCATAGGTAGAAGAGACATTGCTCTCACAACCTGCCTTACATTATCTTCCATCTTGCGAGAGCGTTCTGTACGTTTTGCTGCAACACCATAGTTGACCTAAAAGCCAAAAACTCATATTAGTCATCCCTCCATCCATTTGGAAAGGTAAGGTGTCCACGCTTCCCAGTGCTTATCTTTGACCAACAATTAGTGAAATTTATGTGGTTTCTGTGATAAAAAATTGAGTTTGCTAGGTGGGATTTTAATACAAATCCAACATCAGTTTGTATCAAATAATGTACACATTGTTTAACTAAATATCGGAATCCTGAAAAGCGTGGCCAGCACTGGCCAGTTGCCACCTTACATTTCTCAATAGAGAGTAACACTTAAGAAAACAAATTAATCTCATGGAAACAGTGTACAGTGGGAGTACAGACAAACTAAACAAAATCTAAAGGAAAATTAGTTGAAGGATGCGATAAATGGCATCTCGAACTTTGTAGCACAAGAACAAACATACATTTAGATAAGAAGAACTGTACACATACCTCAAAGCGAAGCATGATGAACAGTGATGTTATCATGGGAAAGATGCAAAGAGCATCAGGGGTCGTCAGATCAGGAAACCATAAAGCTCCACCCCCTTTTAAAGATGGAACTTTCTCAACCATGTTTGATATCTAGAAGCATGACAGAAAATTGAAATGACAAGAAGTCTGTGAAAATGGAAACAAGAAGGTGGTTGTGGTGGTAAGAAGCGATGCATAAAAAATTGGCTAAACAGATGGTTTACATGTGAAATCAACTTACAGCACTGTAAAGAGTTATAAAGGTATATGGTGTCACAATGATGTGAAGAGTTGGCAGAAAACCAAGCCTGTGTGAACAAGAGCGAGTATTTAGAATTTAGAGAAATCCATGCAAGGTCCCTAAAACAACAAGTAGGAGCAAAAGAAGTTGGATGTTGTTTATGGCACACGGTTAAATTTGTCAGTCAAAAGGAATTTTGATCAACGCAATAAGGAGCACAGAAGTCAGAAGCAACAATTTGGAAGGGAAAGGCCAAATAAGCTACACAGCAAGATGAATTATTATTATATTGGCTAGACCCAGGCACTCACACCACGGCACCATAGTATTAAGAAGGCAAAGTAGGAAGTTTGCACATGCACTCTAATTTCACAGTAAATAAGCAAATATTAAAGGAAATTATTATCGTTAAACTGTCCAGCAAAAGTGACCCGATTGGCTGAAGGAGGTATGGGTATGGACATTATACAACTTCCAAAGTGTTTGACTGGAACAACACTCTTTTTATGTTTGAAATTGCAAATGCAAGAACACAAATAAAAAGGGCCTAACTAAATTTCCACGTTCATACATCCAACTTCAACACTAGAAATGATTTTTCAGTCCCATGGAGCCATGGCTCCACACTTTGTTGCAGTTAAATGCATTTATGTCTTCCTGGGGATGTATATATATCAATCTACAGGGAGCCGACAGTAATTGGACAGGATTAGTGCGGTTTTCTTAATATATTGTGCTGCACAGTGCACAGCCCCCATCAAAAACAAGCTCTACTACTCCCTCAGATCCATATTAATTGACGCACACCTAGTATAACTTTGTACTAAAGTTGTACTAAGTGTGCATTAATTAATATGGATCAGAGGGAGTAGATTTTTCTTAAACTGGGTTGTCTGCTAGGCCAAAATCATTTCATGTCTCGGATGAAACAATCTAACATCTTTTTCCTATTGAATAACTTTTAGGCAGATATATGTCATGATTGAACACTGGAAAGAAAGAAGATAGGGGAAGCACAAAACTTCCTTTTCTCTCTTTCATGTTAACACTAAACATCACACACGTCTCTTCTTTCATCCAGCAAGAACTATGTAACATTTAACGGTATTTGCTCAGAAAGAAAACATTAGCGCCCGCAATAATGTCACAATACAAGCACAAGTAAAGCATTTTACATACTTTCTGACCATAGGATCTGCTGCATCTGCAAGTTCTTGTATTGATTTCTCACCCTTAGTCTGCAGGAAATGATTGTGTATAGTCAAATTTCTTGACAATAAAATATGTGGCTTGTACAGTGCAATAGGAGTAGTACAAAATATAATAGTGTTTCGCTTCCCTTATTGCAGGGATCTTACATACATTCTTTACCCACTTGATGTATTGTTCAAGGTCCTGACGCATACCCTATATAAGTTTGAAGCATTAAAGAAAGTAGGGTTAATCCTGTGATCAAAACAAAGTTCTTCAAAGTAAAATATGACAATTAAAATTTTATTTCAGTTGGCTCTGTAGTTAGTTAGGCACTTTTGCGATGCATGGGAATTCTGCAAGAACTTCATACGGAACAATTGAAACCTACAGGATACTGGAGAGGTTCTCACATTTCCTAACACACATTTTACTCAGGGGTATTGCATTCATAGCACACATTTACTACATATTCCCCACATGTGAGTTTTGGGTCTACAAAAAGATGGCTGATTAAAATTGTTGCTTGGTGGTGGGATTAACCCCGAGCAAAGAATCTTAACTTTGCATGCAGAAATTTGGTTTACTTCTCATGACCAAACGATGGGATAAAATCTGACCTGTGACTAATTGGGCACAAGCAACTTCTGGCTACACAAGATACGAGCCTACTTACTTATAGCGCTCAGTATAAGCAAGTGTTCTAACATGCATAATAAAGTAAAACCAAAGGGAGGAACAATGGTAAATACATAAGATCTTACATATAGTCGTTTATTGACAAGCGTCGAAATTGTGAACATCCCACAGCGTAGCAGCACTGTGGAGAGAGCAATAGAAATCCACCTGCAGTGAAAACAATACACAAGGTACATGATGCACACCGGAAACGAAATTCTGAAGACAAGGTAAAGGGCACAAATTCCTCAAACCCCTAAACCCTGACCAGTTCAGACCGGTG